AAAAGAGAAGCAACACTTTTCAACTCATTTCATGAGACTAGAATAAACTTGATACCAAACACTGATGAGGATAGTATGAGAAAATTACATGTTAATTTAACTTATGAATGTACAATCCTAAAGAAAATATTAGCAAATTGAATTCTATAATCTATTAAAAAGATAATACATCATGACCAATTTAGATTTATCCAGAAATGCAAGGTTAGTTTAATGGATGAGGAAAATGAGGATTGGAGAAGGTCAGGGCTTTGCTGAAGCCTTGCAACTAGTTAATGGCAAAGCCGGGGTTAAAATAAATCCCTTGCCTCCTATTCCAATAGTCTTTCCAGTATTCTATGTTGTCAGCAACTTTACAGGAAATAGAAAGTATCAATAGCAGAAAGTTCTGCATCTATGAATGTTATTCTAACATGGGGCTTGTTTTACACTATTAGATCTTCCTTCAGCTTTGTAGATGGAAGAGCCAACAACAGAAAAAAGAACCCCAGAACTATCTAGAGTGAATTATTAAATAACTAGAAACAGCCTAATCTTCTTTAAATTTGGTAAGACGGCCACTTCATATTTGACAAGGCATATTTTGTAAAAAAGTTCATACCAGGTGCTCTGCCTCTGAGCAGTTATCTAATTCTTGTTTTAGTAGGAAAATACTGATTAAAAGAAAAATTACAACCTATTTTACAAATACGATATAGGTGTGTGATATTTTTAAAATTGGTTTATAGTAGATAAAATACAAAAATTAAACTACCCTTCCTTCAGTACAAGCATTAAATATAAATCAAAGAAAGGTGTTGTATAACGGTGAAATGCATTTTTAAAATAAGGATAATTATATTTACGGAGTTGGTAGTTAACAAAATAGGGGAACTTGCTAGGCCTTGAAATTTGGGGGGAAATACTGTGTTAATTAGCATTGGTATCATAGACTCACATAGTGTGTATATTTCAGATATTAAAAACTCCAGAATCATTATGCTAACAACTATTTTCTTATGTAGGCATAATAAGTACTTTGTGTTACCTATTATACATGATCATTTAGGCATTGTATGGAAATCACTTTTGCATTCAGAATGTTACGTACTTACTTTTCCAAAAGTTGGTGAAATTCAGTCTGGTTTATTTCCGTTTCAGAATATTTAGTGACACAGATTTCTTCTTTCCTTTCAGTGTTAACTTTTCTGAAACAAATGATCCAAGATTTGATTGATATGTCAGTATACATTGTCAATTATCTCTTAACTTATTTCAATATATGACAAAATTATGAGGTTTTAATTTATCATGATTTGCCCTAAAATCATCTGGCTTTCTTAAAAAAAGTTTCAAAAACTATCACAATTAAATACTAAACTTTATATTTTTATACTATGAGTATACTATGAGTAATTTAAACTTAAACTTTTATACTATGTGTAATTTATATAAGAAAATTAATTTTCAATATTTTAATCTTCTTCTAATAATGCTGAACACTCTGAGATGTAAATTTATCAGCTCTGAAGAAAATTCATTCATATTGCCTGTAATGTTTTATCCATATGCAGTCATACATTGCAAAATGACGTCTCAGTCAGTGACAAAGGGCATATATAATGATGGTCCAACAAAATTATGTTACCATATTTTTACTGTACCTTTTCTATGTGTAGATACGTTTAGATACACAAATACTTACCATTACGTTACAATTGCCTACAGTATTTAGTATACTATCATGCTGTACAGGTTTGTAGCCTAGAAGCAATAGGCTATACCATACAGCCTGGGTGTGTACTAGGCTACACTATCTAGGTTTGTGTAAGTACACTCTGTGATGTTCACACAAGGACGAAATTGCCTGAGAACGCATTTTTCAGAGCATATCAGTGTTGCTAAGCAACACATGACTGTATTGTTCTATTATTAACACAAACCTAAAAATTTTTTAACTGAAAAATAAATAATGACCATAGAAAACGGATGTTTAATTGGGACATATATCTGTTCAAATTTTCAAGTTAAGAAACTATTCTGTACATTTTTAAATCTCTATATTTTATTAAATGAAAGAAATACTGATCAAATATAGTTATTAATTGCTTCATTAATTAGAAGTGGTGATCAAGTATAGTTAATCATTCATTCATTCACTCATTCATTCAATAAACACTGATTTAGGGCCTATCATGGGGCCTTACTCATGTGGTTAACAAAGTGACTCTAATACCTTGATACTTGATTGACAAGAACACACTGTTCCATGAGCATGCACTTAGACAGCAGAGAATGTCACATACTCTGCTAGAATAGTTGTCCAAATTTGCCAGTCTCTCAAAATGTTTTGATTACCTGAATGAACTATACGTTTTATAACATTAATGTGATAAAATAATATCTGTATATATAGTTGAATCACAATTAAAGATATAGAATAAGAAAAAAGTAAATGTAGGAAGGAACAGAAATTATTTGTTAATTGTTGGTGTTTTAAAAAGAAGTCATACACTACTTTAAGGGCATTACCATCACATTTAACATGTAACGGAATGAGCTAATTGTTAAATGTATGCGTCAAAGATTTCAATTTCAGGCTTGACTTTACTTTGAAGATTAATTTTTTACTTTATCATCTTTACAGGCAGTTCAGTGGTCAGCCAATCTGAGTGTTACTCATTGTTCAGTGATGTATGAAGTATATTTAATCAATGTGAAGAGAGGAATATTAAACTATTATCAGCAGCCTCAAATATTCTAAACATCTCAAAAGAAAGGTCAAGAGGTAATTTCACTGCTAATAATATGAGAAACAATGTGTTTAACTCATTCTTTACATCAGAGCTTTTCAATGATCTATGAGTCTTTTTGTCATAAAGTGTAATGAAAGCATAGCAAGTGATTTTTCTTCAATGTTGGAGAAATACAGGCTGTTTGGGAAGATTTATTCCAATGATAAGGTAAGCTAAAGTACAGATCAAAGCTTTTTGAGGATGATAAACTTTTAAAATATTATACCAAGAAAATAATATAAATTACATAAAGTTGTACTTTTGAGAGCTGTCTTTGTTCACTAAATATTCCAAACATTTAAACATAAATAATTGTGTATAATAATTTAAATAAAGAATTACAAAATTACATTTAAGAAGAACTTTGAGTTCAATTATTTCAAGATACATTAATTAAATTCCAACAAAAATGCTAATTCAAAATGTACGCTGACCACATAACTTTTTTCAATCAGAGCTACTCATTTTTAACTCATTATCTTATCCTGTGCCTAGCCTGAATCAGCAGAGGTGAGATTAAGTTCCTGACATAAAAACTAAATGCATCTTTGTATCTACTTTCATCCTCAAATATCAATATGGGAGCCTTTTTTCTAAATAATACAGAATTCCCCCAGAAAAATGTTCATAACGGAAGAAGACAAAAATCTGTAGAAACCAGAAGTAGTATTTAATGGTAATATGAACACGCTGTTCTTACTGCATTTTCCGACCAGGTGAGATGTCCGGACTAATTACAGTAAGGGATCTGTTTTTATCCTTTTCTCCATTTGGCAAAACTCGGAGCTTCACAGGGACACATTGTTCTGGTGTCTTACACATCGGTTTCTTCATGGGAGGACTGTTTGGAACAAGAAGTCCTTCTATTGGCCAATCAAACTCCTTCAGAAAGAAATGACAAAAACATAATAATAAATGAGTCATTTCTAGATTTCAAAAAAATATCGAACACACTGTATCTTTAATGTTTTTTTCATATGACAAAAATTTATTAGGCACCTAAAATGTTCCAGACAATACTAATTCATGTTTTATTTGAATAAAGAGGAAGGATAATTATTTTACAAATTTATGTAACAACCTTATTGTGTTGTGTTACAACACGGACAATTTATTTTCTTTCAGAGAAACATCATTCTAGAAAAACAGAACTGAATTAACCTGAAATTTTTTGCTCACATGTAAAATATCTTTAATCAGTACAAAGAAAGAAAGAATGTGTCAAAACTGATTTTCAGGAGTCTAAAATAATGTCTCCTTAAAGTAGATCTATTTGACAAAGAAGAGTATATTTGGAAAATATTCTGATAAAACAGTATAAGATAATAAAAGAACTTAAACACATTTTAGATGTTTCAGTTGTAGAATTCAGTTACTTTGTAGCTTTTTATCTATACATTCATTTGCTTATTAATTCATCTATTTTCCAAATATTTATTGATTGTTTACTATATCCCAGGCACAGCAGTGGGCACTAGAAGTAAAACTGTGAACAAGACAGGATACTCCACCCCAAGGGATTTGTAGCAGGTCCTCAGAACTTACCTAGAAATAAACTGGCAATTACAGTAGAGTCGTGTCAGTGCTGTCTAGCAGTAACAGGGTACAGGGTGTGACAGGACCACATGAGAGGAGAACCTAACTTGGAAATGTCCTATAACTGAGTCCTGAAGACTTACTAGGAATTAGTCTAGTAAAGGAGGGGTAAAAAGGACAGAGTGTGTGTGTCATACTTTAGGATTAATACAACATGATGTTGGGTAACAAAAGGAGGCAAGGAGGGCTCCCAGGTTGGTAATTTGGGCAGCTGCGCGGATGGTATTGCCATCGTCAGAGATAGAGCCTTGGGAAAGGGTGATGGGAGATGATGTTAGGTAAGGTTCAAGTTTATTTTCTTCCTTTCCTTTCCTTTCCTCTTTTTTCCTTTCCTTTCTTTTCCTTTCCTTTCCTTTTCTCTTTCTCTATCTCTGTTTCTCTCTCTCTTCCCATTTCTTTCTCACTTTTTCTACCCACATAAACAATTGTCCTGGCAGTATCCCCCATTAATCTGCAATGACCATCCCATAAAATATCACAGTCCCATATAAGTGGAGGTCTGTTTCTGTGTGTTCTGTTCTCTCCAATTTGTCAATTTGTCTACCCCTGCACAGTACCATACAGCCTTGATTACAAGAGTTTTGTATCTGGTAAGTCTGGATATCTGGTAGGTCATGTACCCCCACCATGTTATTCTTCTTTGGGAATTGGCTGTTGTTGGTCCTTTGCTAATTCATATACATTTAAAAATCAGCTTGGTCAGTTTTTTAAAAATCTGTATGGGATATAAATGCTTTATATTATGTTAACAAATTTCCAAGTTGTTAAGTTTTGTTTTTTTTTTCTTGAATGTGCATTGAATCATGTAAAGCTCTTTTTCCTGTATTTATTGAGATGTGCTCATATGATTATTTATATTTTCATCAGCTGTGTATTAGTTAATTGATTTTTCAAATTTTAAACTAACCTTGCATTTCTGGATAAATCTAAATTGGTCATGATGCATTATCTTTTTAATAGATTATTGAATTCAATTTGCTAATATTTTCTTTAGGATTGTACATTCATAAATTAAATTAACATGTAATTTTCTCATACTATCCTCATCAATGTTTGGTATCAAGTTTATTCTAGTCTCATGAAATGAGTTGAAAAGTGTTGCTTCTCTTTT